CAAATTTGTCATGTAGTCGATGTTTACACCGTGATCATTATGTTGCAGGGTTTTTCGGTAAATGTACCATTTTCCGGTGGGATAATGAGGGATGCGGACTATTTAGCTGCTTGGAGAGTAATTGTTCAACCTGTCTTGGAGCAGTTTCAGCCGAATTTCATACTAGTATCAGCTGGATTTGACGCATGTTGCGGTCATCCAAATGCTCTTGGCGGGTAAGTGTTATCCAACTAAACATATATTGGAGTTGATCGTATGATTACCGTTGGTCAACTATTCCATGAAGTCATTTCAGTTACAAAATCTCGGCCGAAATGTTCGGCTTCATGACACGCCAGCTGATGAGTTTTGCTGGCGGACGGGTCGTTTTGGCACTGGAAGGAGGATATGATTTAGCTAGTATCTCAGACGCTGCCGAGCAGTGCGTTAAGGTATGCTTACAAATCTCATCGATGCTGGTCCAGTTTATGGCTCCCATCTTTCGTCGTATATTTCTGGTTTCGAATGCTTCCAAACATTCCTATGCGTAGTTCAGATTTAGTGTAATGAAAATATGGCGAAGAAGTGTGCATTATTAAATGTGTTGGATTGCCTTGCCTGGTGCGGTTTGATCTTACATTTTCGTATTTAGGTTCTCTGCGGAGAGGACGACAAAGCGGGTGTATTAACAAACGAGGCGCTTGAAGGCTTACCATGTCTGAGTGCCCAAGAAACTATACAGAAGGTTGGTTCCCAACCAATACCATCAAAAATTGTTCGCTTATTACCTCTCTTCAGGTGATTGCAATACATAAAGGATATTGGCCCACACTTACAGCTGAACAAGGACTATCAATTAGCGAACTTCACTGGCAAACAGTTGGTAGACAGTTTCAAAAGCTTACCATGGGCACTGTTTCATAATTTCGGATAGTTTACAAGCGTAAAGTTATGATTCTTCGAGTCAAAACTGGTGGTTCAACTATTCAGTAGTGAAATTATCTATAGCTCATGTAGCAAAGTTGAAATCTCTATTAATCTGATTTGGTGTTACTCGACTTAAATGCAGATCTCGCTACCTCCCATCTTGAAATTAGTGGCTATGAGTTGAATCGTGCGCCTTAGCGTTTTGCGACTTAATGACTGTTGTTCCGCCCTTTCGAAGAATTCTAAAAGTTTGATTTGTTCTCTTTCTCACTGGGGCGATCCTGCGTTCCATCATGTACGAATTAATAAGAGCCTTGGGTTACCTGCAGCACATTTGTATCTTGGCGATTTTGCGATAGTTCAAGAGTGTCTTATATACTCAGTGAAAGAGTCATTAGTGTGGATATAAGGCAAGTTGCAAAGCAAAAGCATCCAGAGCCTAAACATGCTTTTTTGGGGCGTACGATTTTGTTGACAAGTTGTGTTGTCTATGGTTTCTGGTTGAGCTAGCCTTTATTATGCTTTGTTGTGATGGATTAGAAAAAGAAGCTGCATCTGTGAAAATGGTCTAGTCTTGAGTTTGTGTGTTCACGTTGACTTTAGTATCTAAGTTTCTATTGTAGGCACAATTATTACCATATTGAGTCTCTGCTTCCTTTCTTCCTATAAGTGCAAAAATAGCAGACACAGCTGTTGAGACTGTGCATGATATGATACTCAAAGCTTTGCACTTGTGCGAAAGATTTTTAGTGCAATCTTTGGATATTAACTGTATGCTCTCAACCTCATGGATTCCACATCTTGAATATGCTAAACCCGGTTTGGCGCCTTAAGCCATAAATCACCAAAATAAGCATATTTTTAACGACAAACCTTTCATCTTTCTGCAGTTTATTATTTTCTAGTGCTATTTTAGAGAGACGTATCTCTTTCTTTTTTCAAATAGCATTTCGTTTGTTTTTCCATTCTTTCCTTTGTTGTTTGATACTATCGAATTGTGATTAAAATGTGATCAACACATTAAGCCGTTTTCGGTTTATCTTCATCTATTATATAAAGAATTTCTTTCTTGAGTTGTACATAGCTGAATGTAGAGTACTGTAATTCTGCAATTGTTCCACAATTTACCATAAATTGATTAAAGTTGCTCTGGTGTTGTATAGATCAGAATTGTAAGTATGTCGATCTCTGTCTCATCTATCGAAAAGACCTTATTTCACAGGCAGGTTTGAAAAGAAACTGCGAAATCAAGTACTTCGAATGATTATTGCAAGACTTTATGCTCTCCTCTAGCTTTGTTACGCTGGCAGTGCAGATGCACGGCATAG